ATTTTATATATTATAACTTAATTATAATTATTTTCAATTTGAACTTTGATTTATATTGTGCTTTGGTACTTTTCATCGGTTTTTCCTCAAAACTTCTTTTGCCGTTCGTTTGTATAATGATAAGAATTTGTGAACATTTTGCAATCGCATATCAAAAGAAGTTTCATTTTTATTTTATTAAATAAATTTGTTTTGAAGTAAAAGAAGGATGAATGGGATGAGTTTCGGCTCGTAGCAATCTCAATCAAGACAATTGTTATTTTTGATACAATTAGTAATTGCATTCCTAGGATACAATTATGAATATTATAACAAATAATATGATCTAATCGGCTGCGAGCACGATTTAGTTTTTATATAATTAAAGGATTTATTGAGTTATTAGAAAGCTCGTTGATTTCTAAAATTATAGATTGAATTTTTTAATGATAACGTATAGCGCATTTGTAAATGTGGAAGACCGTGGACTTTAGATTTTGATAGATATTTTAAAACATGATTGATATTTTAAAACATGATTTAATAAAATGATAGATTTTTTCCGTCGTCTTCTTTTTGATTAAATATTATGTCCGTTCTAAATATATTTCCCTTAGTATATTTCAGTAAGTAAAACATCCTGTTATAAGTAATAATTTTATCATTTCCGAAACGAAAAACCAATCGATAAATTCGTAAAACACGAATAGGACTCTTTCTGGCACACACATAAGTACATAATAGGATAAATTTAGATACTAATTTCGTATTTGGAATCTGAAGATACCATTAAACATTTTGCTTGTATCGTTTTACTTAATATAGTCAATATTGTCATAATCTTTACATTTTAATATTGAAAGTTTGACAACACTGTAATAAACAAAAAATCATATTGCTAGCGCATTCCCCAACTCATCGTTATTTAAACGTAGAAGTAAAAAACCAGCGATTTTTTTACTATGTCGGTATTTCAGATCACGAGCCACGAAATCCCGTAAGATGCTTGATCTATTCATATACCTCGTCTGTGCTTACGGGATTTCGTAGCTCGTGACCTGAAATACCGATATAATAAAAAAATCAGTAGCGCACTCTACGTTCAAACACGAGCAAATGTAAAATTTGCCTAAATCGGTACAACAGAATGTGATACGAAAATGGTAAGAGAGTTCTAGAACTCCGAAATTGTGGCCAGAAAATACATTGTATACGAAGTCTATTCATGTATCTCGTTTGTAGTTCTCATTAACACTAAAACTATCGACGACTAAAGCATAAAATTTCCATTAGAGACATTGTAGTAAAAAAAATAGAAAATTTTTACAATACAATAGGGTATACAAGTTTTAATTTATGTATTTTACAAAGAATCATTTAAGTCTTTAAACACTGTTTTGTATATGTAAAATATCTAAATAAAAATTATCAATTAGTCATTTTAGCTATTTTGGTAGTTTTAATGTTAATACGTAATATAAATTTGATTCCAATCTTCCCAAATATATATCTATATCATTTTGTGTGTGTGTGTGTGTGGTGTGGTGTGGTGTGGTGTGGTGTGGTGTGTGTGTGTGTGTGTTGGAAAGTATATACATATATATATACCATTGCTTATATATCTTATATCATTGCACACATCTTAAGCAAATAAAGACATAAAAAAACAATTTTTATTGAAAGAAGTTTAAAAATGCATAACAAAGTACTCACGCTACGTAATTCACAACAGTTCGGTCTCCCCTTTTTCTGAACACCCGAAATTCATTGATTTCATGAGTGTATCCTGAGTAAACAAAGGTATAACAATCAATTTCCATTACAATAAATTTAAAAATGTAGTACAAATTACTTACGCTACGTAATTCACAGTTTTATTTAATTCTTTTAATAATAAAAACGCGAGACACATTCAAACCAACGCTTCTCAACCGAAACTTTCAAAACTACCATTTCCGGAAATTGATTGCTGCGATTTTCGAATTACTTGCCAATCGATTACTTACACAACCGATCAGTGATTCTAGGCGCGAAATTTAAATTTCCATTACTCGATAGGAAGGGTATAAAATTATTTTTTATAGAAAAAATATGTTCATAAAGTATGTTTTCTTTCTTGTTGGTATTTTATATTAAAAGAACTATTTTGTCATTATGAACAATGATATGTTATTATATATATTATTACGTTATATGTTTTTACGTTATGAATACTTTGTCGTGTGTGTAAGTACTTCTGTCAATTATTAAGTTGTTCGACAATTTTTTTTATCTTTGTAAATTGTAATTAGAATGAATGAAGAAACTGTATGGCAAGAATTATCAGAGATACTTGCTGATCCTCCAGAAACAAGGAATAAGTGTTCGCAGTGCAAGTATGTACATGTACGAAATTAGGTTACATTTAAGCAATTTTGTCTTATTTAATATTTGAAGAAGTGGAAAAAGAATAAATTGTAATTTTATATTCTTTTCAAATTATATTAAATAAATTAATGTCATGCATATACAGAAGACCAGTGCCAGTATGTTGGTGTCCCGGATTACCAAAACATCCTGTAAGTCCTGCATCAAAAATAATAATTTTACAGCATCCAGCTGAAGTAAAACGTTGTTTACGAACTGCACCTATGCTTGCACTTGGTTTAGAATCTGGAAAATGTGTAATTTACAGGTAATATTTAAGACTTTATTTATAACATAGAAACTTGGAATTAATGGTATGATATTCTTTTATTATTTATTATTTGATATTCTTTTAGAGGAAAAAAGTTTCCACTTTCAAAACATGAAGGCTTAACAGAAATTTTAAATGATAAAGATACTATATTATTATATCCATCTCCAAGTGCTGTAGCACTTGATAAATTAAATCCTGTTGGTATTAACGGACAAAAACCATATAATCTCATTTTATTAGATGGAACTTGGCCACAGGCAAAGGTATTGCATCTTGTAACTTAGTTTATATATTGAAATAAATAAAGAACAAAATGTTTACAGGCAATATATCATTCAAGTCCAGCGCTGTGCGTTTTAAGGACATGTAAATTAGTTGGGATTCCAACAAGTGAATATGTTATTAGAACACAACCAACCGAAGGTTGCTTGTCTACACTTGAAACTGGTGCATTTGCACTTTCCATTTTAGAAGGTGATCCAGAATTGAAAAATAAAATGCTTGGACCTTTACATTACCTTTGCAGGCAAGCTTTTTATTAATATGAATAATATAAAGAAATTACATTCTAATAATAACTATGAAAACTTTAGGTTTCAATTAGAAAATGGTGCTGTTACTCATCAAAGTAAAGAATTTCTAATTAAACAAAAAACTTATCCAAAATTAATAGGACGAAGATTAGCTAAACAGTTACGTATGCTGCCAGAGGAATCTACGTAACATTTTTTATCTAATTGGAAAGATGTTTTAATAAATATGTAATTTTTATAAGCATATTTTAAAAAGGGACGAGACAAATAAAAGAAGTGAATTAGATTTTAATTTAAAAGTATATTTTTATAAACATTGCGTCGTATTATTTCATACTTTTTGACAAAATACGAAAATCATATTTAATATTTCCAGATTGTGGTGCAAAATTAAATGACCATGAAATAATACTGTGTTGCGTAACATGTGTTATATCTTTAAATAAATGTACACCTTGTCTTGTAAATGGATCCCATGATATTCGCTCTCCAGACTGCACTTTTACAGTCGGCCCTGATGATACTGTGATTTCGGAATTCAATTGCCAATCAATCCACAAAGCTACACCATTACACATTCCACTTCTAAAATAATTAAAAAACATAAGAAGATATAAATAGTACTTTATAATAATTTTATAATAATCATTAATATAAAATTGCATAAAATCTTACGTTAAAATAGGTACACATTCTGAAATATTTACATCTTTGTGTTCATTCACATCTTGCGTCAAATCAAATTTTTTAATAACAAAAGGTAAACTTAATGCTTTAGTAGGATATTCCCATAATGGTTGAGCTTCTATAGGACTATCACTTTTATCACTCGATACCTATAATACATTATAAAAATTAAATTTGTTACAGTTTTTAATTTGTTACAGTTTAATTCGACGTACTTACTTGGATAAGTTTGTCAAAAATAGATAAATCGAAACCCTCACAAACTCCAAGAGGTGCTCGTATTTTATACAAATCCTTAAACTCAACTATAACACCCATTATTGTTGCTGCAATTGGAATCCTTTGTATTTGAGGCGAATATTTTGAAGCTAAATACCAAAAGTAAAGATTTTCCCATGGTACAATTGAAGTGATAAAATATGGTTCGCCAAAAATGAAATTAATTGCACTTTGAGGAGGCAAATCGTCTACTGATTCAACAATTTCTACTTTTTCTGAAAGCTCGTTTGTTTTAACAAACATTTCGATACATTTTCTGGATAAAAAGTTTGTCTCTAAGATGAAGATTTTTTTCGCACCCAATTGAACAGCTGCAAGACCCAATAAACAGCCGTCTGAAAGACATAAACATACTGTGTCAGATGTAATTTTTTTTTCTAGAGCTTTAATATATTTTTTATTTCGTGTATGGTCATTTAATTGTCCTATACGAGTTCTACAATAAGCTACGTGTACATTACAGCTGCAAACAGGTCTTTCACAATCGGGTGCTTCATTTCTGCAAATAAGACAATGTTTACTTTTATGAAATAACAAAATAACTAAAACAAAATAATAAGGTCGTTAAATTAGCTTACATTGATTCATTTATTAATTGGAACCATAATGAATATTCATCGTGATAGCCAATCAAACTAACTTCACTATTAGCAGTAACTGAGGTTGCAGCAGGTAAATAGTAAATGGCTTGCATCCAATGATCTCTCCAAGGTATTACATCTGCTATTTCTTGCAAACTGAGACCTTTATTTTGTAAAATTTTTGTATTTGAATGTTCCCACACTGGAGCACAACTTAACAAGACCTAATAAAATACATAAAAACAATTTAGTAATAAATGTAAGATCTTTTAATAAATAATAATTACCTCATTATTTACATCCATAATTAAATCCCACCACATAAAAATAGCATGTGCAGTACCACTTGCAGTTGGTTTTACATGTAAACACCTTTTTTCATCATATAATAGAGTTGATTTACCAGATAAATCAAACCTAAAATATTCATTTTATATTTCGACCATAGATCTTTTCTATCTTGGGCAATTTATGTACACATGTATTTACCTAAAGATAGGTTGAGGAGGTAGTAAAGGTTTAAATGCATTATGAGGAAATTGTGTTAATTGTATATCATGCACTGCAGCAGCTCCAGAACATGATTTTACAGAATGTGGAGTATTTAATAAATATTTACTTCTATTTTGAATGGGATGTACTGTATTCCATGTACATATTGTAGGACTTTCTACTACTTGTACCCAAATAGTAGCGGTATGCGGAATTACAATACTGTTTTCCTGAAATAAAATATATATGTATATAAAATGCTATTGTATAAAACTGTGAACTAACAATAAGATGAATTTTATACTTCAAGAAGATTTTCATGAGCATGACGAAACGTAGAAAGTGCTCCTTCTCCAATAAGTTCAGTATCAAATACTTCAGTGACTAAAATGTTTGCTTTTTTTATCATATCACCATCCTTTCCAATAATCATTTTTGTAGAGCGCTTGTGTATTAATTTAATGTTGTTTTCAAAGCCATTTTCTTGGATTATTTTTATAGCGCATTTAGCCATTGGTGTAAAAGCCTAAGAAACATTTTTGAATCATAAAAACTTTCTAATTTATAAATACAATACATAACGAATTTTGTGGAAATTATGTACCTCGCAAGCTGTTACACTATCTGCTCCACATTTTGCAGCCATCATTGCTAATAAACCAGTTCCAGTTCCTATATCAAGTACATTAGCTTCCTCACCATTTTTATGCTTTTTCTCAATGGCTGCTTTAAGACCTAAATAATATTTTTGATTCTATAATAATAAAAAAATTTTGTAAATAGTAAAGTAAAAACTTATTTTGAAACAGCATAATATAAAATACTAACTCTTTCATGATCATGTAACATATCAGCAAATGCTGATCTAGCAACTTCTTGATGATAATCATAATTTTCGTCTTTTTCCTCCCAATTAGTAATTCCAGTTAAAGGATTCAAGCATTGAATAAAAACACTCATATTTCGTGTATAAATTAAACGAGTGAAACAAACTTTTAGCATAACTTTTCCCTGAAAAATTTACATTAACATGAAATCTACTAATAAATATAACTATTTATTAATAAAACGAGAAATATATTACATTGAAAAAAATCTACGTGAATTTAATAACATTGATTTAATAACAATTTTATTTATAAATATCAAATACAAATTAAATCTAAAATTAGAATTGATTTATCATGTATTGCAGGATTAAGTTTAATTGCTATAATTAATGTCTAAATCACGAACAACGAATAATGAAATGTTAAATAAAATGAAATCAACAATTGCCCAAAAACATAATTTTGATACAATGACAAATGTAAACTAAACACGTGCATCTGTATATAACATATTCTACAAATTTATAGACGAACTGTATCGATGTATATATCTGACATTTATTTCTACCATATCAATAGAGTAAAAGATTATTTCTAAAATGTCAATCTTAATTTATATAACTACTGTACATTAATATTCTATCTACAATATAATTAAAACCATGTATTGTTTTATATAAAAGTAATAAAAGAATAAAAATTCAGTATACAAGCTACTTATTATTAAATTCTTAATTTTCTCGCGCTTATTTTTATTGCTCCATTTCACCACTAGGTGGCATACTTCCATGCACATTTTTAACCAATCATAGTCATTTACTTAAACTTCGCGGGTCTGACAACTATGCAAGTGCTCCTTCGTACGTTTCGTATCTTGCTTTTGGTTAAAATATCTTTTTTATAAGTGGATATATAATTTTTTCAATCATATTTGCGTCTTGTTTTAAGTGTAATTAAATTTGAATTAAGTGGAAGCTGAAAACTATGATTCTCTAAAATGACCGTTACCGAATTGGAAAGTACGTAAAATAAATCGTATGTATACTTTCTGTATTTTATACCAGATTGAACGAACGTTTTACATTCTTTTTATTTTGATAATCAGAATGAAAATCCTGGTTTGACCAATTTAAAACTAAATATCATTTCTTAAGAAAGATAAGGAAATCGATAGAATAAGAAATCCACGTTTACGCCCGGTATTTATTTTAACATTCAACTGACAACAATATATATATGTACAGTTTTACGTATACGTAATATCAGTGTGTATATACTCATTGTATTTATATATAATTATAACATTAGCTACCGTCCGCACCTGCCCTTTATGTCTTATTCATTATTGCACAAGCTACATCGACATTGGTTACCTGATACGATGTATCATTAATAAAACTTTAATAACGCGAATCATCTTTAAAATCTGACGTCACAGCTTACGCTCTTACCTCTTCGAATAATACATCAACCTTTTCTTTCATGCGTAAATTACACCTTAAGTATGGATGGACACGACTTCCTTGTTGTACACTTCGCGAACTCAATAAGACACGTGGAGGAAACAACAAATCGAAATCGTTTAAATTGAAATTCAAGAAATGATATTACATCAAAATCAATATTTCATCTTGCTATCCTTGATTAAGCACGTAATGGTACATTTCATTGACACTTTTCATTCACTCCACCGATATCGACATGAAACAACAACAGAAACGTTAAACCATACAAATCGGTGTATAAGTGCGCTAGATAAATCTTTTTCCTTCATTAAAATTGTTATCTTTCAATTATTGTCTACTAATTATTGTCCTGTTCAGGCAAATGATATTTACTTTATCGCACATTCGTATTGCTCATTTGCTCACTTAAGTTGCCTTTAGTAAGTAATTGTACATTTACGTATAACTTGTGATTAAAATATCAAATATGTATTGACAACTGAAACGACATTAGCGCTCTTTATACACCAGTGCAGGCCCTTTGCAGGGCGAGATCTTGTGTAACGATATAAAGAAATAAAATTAATTCGTTTAATGAGTTATTGTCTGAGACTTGTATGTTTCGTAGGTCGAGACAATACGTACGAAACATATGATAGTGAAAGAAACATTTGTACTATTCATTGCAAGGGCTATTCATCATGTTTCACGCGGCAGCACCTTGTCCCGCAAGTTATTGTCAGTTTACAGTTTAAAAGACACTTCAACAATTATTTACAGTCGAACTACTCCATACGAATAATAATATAATATAATATACGAGTATAAGTAAATCACTAATCGATCCAGGAGCAACATAATTAATCCTCGGGACTGTTATTAAGTCGATAACAGGATCTTAACAAGTATAATATTATCAACGACTTTATATATATCATTTCGTATTAAATCACACTTATGTTATGATTAGTTTAGCACCTTCTTAAGAAAACAAGGGAGAAACGATCTATGTGAATGTTAATACATATCTTGAAACCGAAAGTTTTACCGAAGACAGAATAGTTTCTTTTCTTTACCGATGATGGTAAATGTCTATTTTCGACACTGTACGCGAGTTCTACGATGAATTTCTCCTGTTTCAAGCTGTTTCATTAGAATCGTATTGAAATACGTGACAGTTTACAATCAACAATTTGTCAAAAAGATTTAAGACCATACCCAAAAGCGTACATACAAAATAGAGAGATCCGAAGTACAAATAGACGCGATTACAGCGTATCTCGCTACTGCTCTAGTCTCTCCTAATAAACGATTCTCTTATCGAAGGAATAGATTCGTTCGTATCAATTTAAATTTGTTCAGTCAATCGTAAAATCGCCAATTTCGAGATTATTATCCGCGGTAAATTTGCATCGTTAATTCTTAAAGCCTTCAAACCGGTTACTTTACAGTGTAAAATTTATCTAAAAAGTACGATATATGATTGACGCCATGAACGGAGTAACGTAAACGATAAATGTAACATACGTAAATTTGAAAAAAAAAAAAAAAA